GTCTGGGTTCGCACCGAACCCAGCATGCTTGGGTTCAGTGGAACCCAGCACGCTTGGGTTCCTTGCGAACTCAGCGCCTGGGTTCGCAAGGAACCCAAGCGTGCTGGGTTCGCGTCTGGGTTTGCACCGAACCCAGCATGCCTGGGTTTGGTGGAACCCAACACGCTTGGGTTCGGTTCCTTGCGAACCCAGGTGCAAAAAATTTTATAAAAAAAATTTCTGTTTTTGATTTTTGGATTTTGTTGTTTGATTGTGATGAAAAATTGATTGATGAAGATGAAGAAGGCAAGGCAAGGTAGTTGCTGGGTTACTGCAGGTGTTGGGTTCGATTTTTCAATTTCGAATGCTAGGTTTTTGTAGGTGCTTGGTTCGTTTGCAGGTGCTGGGTTCGAAATCGAACCCAGCAAGCGGTGGGTTTGAGCAGCCGTTGAGTTCCTGCAAGTGAGGTTCTGGGTTTCGTTTCGAACCCAGCAACCGTTGGGTCAAATATCTATTGAGTTTAATTTGTTGATTTGTTGTGTTATCCTCGAATTTAATATTAGGAGTTAGGGTTTGCAGAAGGTTAAAGGAAAGGGAGAGGAAGAAGAAAGGGAAAAAGGAAAAACAAACGAAGAAAAAAAAAAAGGAATAACAAATTTTTTAAGATTTTTTTCTTGCCATCTCATTTTTTTGTCGCACTGTACATCCTAGGTGTCAAAATGTTTTTACATGTCATTATTTTCCTGTCAAGTAACGGGACACGTAGGTTGATATTTGATGGAAGGATCAAATCGGGGTAAAAATGGTAAACAGTATGGACCAAATCAGGGATTTTTTTAGTTCAGGGACCAAATCGGGGGTCCGTACAATAGTTCAGGGACCAAAAAGGGGTTTTAACCATTTTGAAATATTGGTTACATATATAAATATCCACAAGGCACACACAAACAAGGTGGGATGACCAGTGAGTTTTCCTACCTTTCTCCCTTGTACCCTCTCAATCCAAAGATACCTTGTTTCTAATTTTTGGTCAAAAACATGAAAATCTATGACCATATTTATGCTACTAGCTCAAAAAATATATATAATTTATCTATACATATATGGAAAGATAATCATATTTTGCAGTTTAGATTGAATTGGATTATAAAATATAAAATATTAAATTGAAAAATGTTTTAATATCAAAGAGTTTTACCCTTATTTAATAGTTTTAATTGTACAATTTTATATAATTTGAATTATACATCCTTTAACCATTGCTAACCACGATTTGGACTTGAAAATTGAAATCCTTTTTTTTTTAATATATTACAATTATTTACAAGTTAATTGGGGAATAGGAGAAATGGTTTTCGTGGATTCAAACGTATAACTCATAAGAGGTGAACAGTTCTAACCCAAAAATTAATGTCACTTAATCAAAACAAACCATTGGAAATCCCTTTCTTTCTTTTTTATTAACACTTTCTCAGTCTATATATTTTAATTATGCCGGTCAATTATATTCTTAGTTCTATCACAAATTATTAAGCTCTCATACTATGTACAGAGCATGTGACTTTTTTTTCAGCCATTGTTCAGTACATGTGATGATTTGGCAGAAAAAGACATCAAAATTAAGGATGCCTTCATGAAATAGTTGTCTGTTTTTCCAACATGACCTCACATATATATTCTGGTGTCAGTAATCAGTATCAGTTACATGCAACATAACACAACACATGCAAATGGCTACACAAAAAGGCACCCATTTTAAAAAGGAAAAACAAAAGCATGCAAATGCGGTTCTTAGTAAGTGCTGTATAGTTCAGCTGTAAAGCAAACCAAAAGACAACAACATGGGCTACAATTATTTTCAAAACGTGGGCTCCCTCCCTGGGAATGAAGCTGTCACGCTCCACAGTCCACACCAATGTTCATTCGCTGTCACAACGTTGCCCCACCCTAACAGTGGAACTGTCCTGTTGGATTGATGTGGCGGAACGGTAATTGAAAGCTTTCGACTACAATTATTTTGGATATTATGGGATATGAATTTCTCAGGAACAATTAGTGTATTTTGTTTTGTGTTGGTTTAATGATATCATTCCCTTTTCCCAAAAAAAAAAATTGAAAGCTTTCGACTAGATAATAACGGAGATAAAATTGCTATATGGTATCAAGGAGTGTCTCTTGTTTGTCAATATATATATATATATATATACACACACTTAACTTTTATTTTTATTATAATAAGGGAATGGTTCCTTTGAATTTTGTAAATTTTATACATTTGATTTAATATTGTTTAATTTCATTATATATTTAAAATTAATTTTACCAATTATTGTTG